GCATTCGCAGCTCTCCTGGATGTACTCCCAAAGCCTTTGCAAAAGGTTTCTGGGGAGGGCAGCCTTATTCCATCCACCATGGTAGAACACTTTACCACTCCAGGCCAGTAGCACGTACTTGGGAATCATTGAAGAACAAAGCATTGCAGTGTATGTTTGCTGGCATTCAAACAACATCCGTTCTTTATCTCTCTGTGTTATCCTCAGAAGAGTGATATCATTCATGGTCACCTGCTTGAAATAGGGTTTTTTTCTTAAGGGGACATTCGGAAGTGCCGGTTCCTGCTGGGCTGTTTGCCTGTGGCTGAACAGAAATGTTCCCCGCTGTTAGCCAAGGGGAGGGGGAGGGGAAGGGGCTAGCCACGCGCTGGGGGGAGGCAAAATGAGACCTTGGAACAAAAGCACATGTGCTATGTATGTAATGTTGACAGCCAGGTTTCCCGTGAAAGAGTGTACCCATTGTTCTCTAAAATGTGTCTTTTTAAATACCACTGTCCCTTTTTTTTCTCCACCAGCTGCATGCGTTTCAAGGATCACAGGATCTTCTCCTTCCCAGAGGCTAGCAAAGATTAGAAGGCGAAAAGAAAGCACTCGCAATGAAATGTTCTCTGAGCTCATGCTGTCCTCCCACACTGACAGAGCACAGACGAATGCATGGAGGCAGACAATGTCAGAGTGCAGGAAAGCACAAAATGACCGGGAGGAGAGGTGGCGGGCTGAAGAGAGTAAGTGGCGGGCTGAAGAGAGGGCTGAAGCTGAAAGGTGGCGGCAGCGTGATGAGAGGAGGCAGGATTCAATGCTGAGGCTGCTGGAGGATCAAACTAATATGCTCCAGTGTATGGCTGAGCTGCAGAAAAGGCAGCAGGAGCACAGACTGCCACTACAGCCCCTGTGTAACCAACCGTCCTCCTCCCCAAGTTCCATAGCCTCCTCACCCAGACGCCCAAAAACGTGGTGTGGGGGGCCTCCGGCCACCCAGCCACTCAACCCCAGATGATTGCCCAAGCAACAGAAGGCTGATATTCAATAAGTTTTAAAGTTTTAAACTTTTAAAGTGCTGTGTGGCCTTGTCTTTCCCTCCTCCACCACCCCTCCTGGTGCTTCTCTCCTCCACCACCCCTCCTGGGCTACCTTGATAGTTATCCCCCTATTTGTGTGATGAATTAATAAAGAATGCATGAATGTGAAGCAACAATGACTTTATTGCCTCTGCAAGCGGTGATCAAAGGGAGGAGGGGAGGGTGGTTAGCTTACAGGGAAGTAGAGTGAACCAAGGGGTGGGGGGTTTCATCAAGGAGAAACAAACAGAACTTTCACACCGTAGCCTGGCCAGTCATGAAACTGGTTTTCAAAGCTTCTCTGATGTGCACCGCACCCTCCTGTGCTCTTCTAACCACCCTGTTGTCTGGCTGTGCGAAACCAGCAGCCAGGCGATTTGCCTCAACCTCCCAACCCGCCATAAACATCTCCCTCTTACTCTTGCAGATATTGTGGAGTGCACAGCAAGCAGTAATAACAGTGGGAATATTGGTTTTGCTGAGGTCTAACTGAGTCAGTAAACTGCGCCAGCGCGCTTTTAAACGTCCAAATGCACATTCTACCACCATTCTGCACTTGCTCAGCCTGTAGTTGAACAGCTCTTGACTACTGTCCAGGCTGCCTGTGTATGGCATTAAGGGGTAGGGGCTTTATACTTATCCCCAAGGATAACTATAGGCATTTCAACATTCCCAACAGTTATTTTCTGGCCTGGGAATAAAGTCCCTTCATGCAGCTTTTGAAACAGACCAGAGTTCCTGAAGATGCGAGCGTCATGTACCTTTCCCAGCCATCCCACGCTGATGTTGGTGAAATGTCCCTTGTGATCCACCAGTGATTGCAGCACTATTGAAAAGTACCCCTTGTAGTTTATGTACTCACCGGCTTGGTGCTCCGGTGCCAAGATAGGGATATGGGTTCTGTCTATGGCCCCACCACAGTTAGGGAATCCCATTGCAGCAAAGCCATCCACTATGACCTGCACATTTCCCAGGGTCACTACCCTTGATATCAGCAGATCTTTGATTGTGTTGGCTACTTGCATCACAGCAGCCCCCACAGTAGATTTGCTCACTCCAAATTGATTCCCGACTGACCGGTAGCTGTCTGGCGTTGCAAACTTCCACTGGGCTATTGCCACTCACTTCTCAACTGTGAGGGCTGCTCTCATCTTGATATTCTTGTGCCTCAGAGCAGGGGAAAGCAAGTCACAAAGTTCCATGAAAGTGCCCTTACGCATGTGAAAGTTTCGCAGCCACTGGGAATTGTCCCAGACCCGCAACACTATTCAGTCCCACCCATCTGTGCTTGTTTCCTGAGCCCAGAATCGGCGTTCCACTGCATGAACCTGCCCCATTAGCACCATGATGCCCACATTTGAGAGAAGTCTGTGTCCATGTCCTCATCACTCTTGTCATCGCGCTGCCGTCACCTACTCACCCGGTTTCACTTTGCCAGGTTCTGGTGCTGCATATACTGCTGGATAATGCGTGTGGTGTTTAACGTGTTCCTAATTGCCAAAGTGATCGGAGCGGGCTCCATGCTTGCTGTGGTATGGCGTCTGCACAGAAAAAAGGCTTGGAACGATTGTCTGCCATTGCCCTGACGGAGGGAGGGGCGACTGACGACATAGCTTACAGGGTTGGCTTACAGGGAATTAAAATCAACAAAGGGGGTGGCTTTGCGAGAAACTGAATGGCCCCCTCAAGGATAGAACTCAAAACCTCAAGGATAGAACTCAAAACTGGGTTTACTAGGCCGTTGTTTTCACGGAGGGAGGGAGGAGAAAATGAATACAAAACAAATCTGGTCTATTTCTTGTTTTTAGCCACTTCATCTATCTTTATACATCCTGCTGGCAGCAGACTGTGCAGTACGACCGCTAGCCATCATCATCTCCTGGGTGCTCGGCAGAAGACGGTGCAGTATGACTGCTGGCCATCATCTTCTGCTGGCTGCTGATTAAAAGACAGTGCACTGCCGGTAGGACTCAATTGTCATGAGACGAAACTTAAAAGGGAAATGACCTGGCTGAGTCACTCCCATGTTTGCCCAGGCGCCCCGTCCTCATCGAGGTCAGTTAAAAGAGCACCCAGGACTACGTCGACGACCGCTACCAGTCATACTGCACTGTCTGCTGCCAAATGGCAATAAACTGCTGCTGTGTAGCAATGCAGTACCATGTCTGCCAGCACCCAGGAGACATACGGTGACGGTTGGCTGAGCGGGCTCCATGCTTTCCGTGGTATGGCGTCTGCACAGGTAACTCAAGAAAAAAGGCACAAAACGATTGTCTGCCCTTGCTTTCACGGAAGGAGAGAGGGAAGGGGGGCATGAAGATATGTACCCAGAACCACCCGTGAAAATGTTTTAGCCCCATCAGGCACTGGGATTTCTACCCAGAATTCAAATGGGCGGTGGAGACTGCGGGAACTGTGGGATTGCTACCCACAGTGCAACGCTCCGGAAGTCGACGGTTGCCTCGGTACTGTGGACGCACTCCGCCAACTACTTCGAGCATTTGTGTGGGGACACACACAATCGACTGTATAAAAACGCTTTCTACAAAACTGACTTCTATAAATTTGACCTAATTTCGTGGTGTAGACATACCCATATTCTATGTTTGGGTGAATGTACACTTGAATTACATTATTGCAGATATAGGTTATGTGATATCATATACTGCTTGTAACTCTCCCCAAACCCCTCTTCCCTCAGAACCCTCTTTTTGTCCCAGCTAACTCATATGTGGATTAGATATCTGTAATGTACTGCCCTCCTTTCTTCCCTATTCCATTTCTAACTTCTAGTAAGCTACCCTGATGCTGTTATTCTGGTTTAGTATTTCAACCAAAATCTTCACTGGTAAATCTTTAGTGGTAAGATCCATTATTCTGCCTATTAAGAAAGCTCTAAGGATTTAAGTAATTGGATACCTAGATACTATTTGTCCACTAACCAGTGGCTTTTATTTTTATATTTTGGCACAAATGACTCACTTCAGGATTCCTTTTTCCTTGATTTCACAAAGCAGATAAGATTATGCAGCTCTGTCACATACAGATCTGTCTGACAGATTAAACTGAAATTGCTGATCACTTATTCAGCCCAATTTTGCTCCCAACTAAGTTGATGGTTAAACTCCGAGTGACCTCAGTAAGACTAGGCTAAGATCCTTCCTTGAAAATGTATCCTTATGACTTATTGTAGTTCCTCACTAAATGGCAACTGAATCCTTCTTTATGCCTTTTTAAACCTAGATTTGCTATTTTTCAATGCACTGTACTTGGAATCAAGTGTGCAATTTAAGCTATTGTCAATGTATGTTGGACCTCTAGTTCTTATACTGGAAAGATATTATGATTTCTTGGACACAACTAAGGCTTCTTCTCAGGTCACATTCTGAGAATTACTGAAAGCGTATATAAAATTTGTTCTGCTTTTCTTTTTTTGGCTTCCTGAAGCACGTTAGCTTTAGAATGTAGTTTTAAATATAAAATGATATAAACCAAGAGGGATTTATTTAAGCAACTTCATCCATATTATTTGTTTATACTAATTGCTCTGTTCCACCTTATAGGCCCTGGGGGAAACTTCTAGACAACTTTAAAATTACAGTCTCTAAAAGCTCTCCTCCTTAACTGCAAAATTCCCTTTTAGATTAAGAACTGGGGAACTTGATATTTTCATGTCAGTTTTAAGACATTCTGAATTTTATGTCAAATTATATTTTGCTGATACTTTCTCCAATATCTAGTACTGCTTGATCAAACTCCTTAATAGAAAAATACTTTCTTATTCAGTCTTGCAAAAGGAGGAGATTGTGGCTCCATCTTGTGGGCTTAGAGTGTATATCATTTGATTATCAGGTCAGCTATTTAAGTGCCTTTCAAGAACTCGTTCTCACAAAATTTCTTTTTTATTAATCTAATGAAAGTCATAACTCACCACCACACATGCAAAACTTTGTTTTTTTTATTCAGATGCACAAAATAAATAGTCTGAAAATTAATTTGAGAGCTCAGTCCATTACAGCAGGCTGATTTAAAGTTTCATCTCACTGCATCCGATGCATCTGATGAAGTGAGCTGTAACTCAGGAAAGCTTATGCTCAAATAAACTGGTTAGTCTCTAAGGTGCCACAAGTACTCCTTTTCTTATTACAAAGCTTACAATCTACTGACATCAGGAATCATAACATTCAAAAACCAGTAGGAGAACACTTCAACATCTCTGGCCACTCAGTAACGCATCATCAAAGATTTACAACCTATCCTGAAAAATGATCCCTCACTCTCAGAGATCTTGGGAGACAGACCAGTCCTCACTTACAGACAGCCCCCCAACTTGAAGCAAATACTCTCCAGCAACCACACACCACACAACAAAAACACTAACCCAGGAACCTATCCTTGCAACAAAGCCTGATGCCAACTCTGTCCACATATTTATTCAAGTGACACCATCATAGGACCTAATCACATTAGCCATGCCATCAGGGGCTCGTTCACCTGCACATCTACCAATGTGATATATGCCATCATGTGCCAGCAATGCCCGTCTGCCATGTACATTGGCCAAACCGGACAGTCTCTATGCAAAAGAATAAATGGACAGAAATCTGACATCAGGAATCATAACATTCAAAAACGGGTAGGAGAACACTTCAACCTCTCTGGCCACTCAGTAATCCACGAAAGCTTATGCTCTAATAAATTTGTTAGTCTCTAAGGTGCCACAAGTACTCCTGTTCTTTTTGTGGATACAGACTAACACGGCTGCTACTCTGAAATCTACTGAGTGTGTTCATCCTATCTTTATGAATGTATCATTCTTGTATATGAAGCTAGAAATATGAAGTATTACTCTGAAGTCCTATTACAACTATGCAAAGTGTCGGCCATTAATGGTGGTTTAGAATCTTGATGGCTCCCATTAACCAGGCCAATTGGTTGTAAATGGCTCTGTTTACTTGTAAGCCTTCCTGTGTTTATGTGAGTCAGGCTGGAAAGAATGGAGGCTTGGGGTCTCACAGGACATCTGACCATGTCACCTGGTACTGGAATCCATCTTAAACCTGGTGCTTTTCCATTTAGAAGGAGGGGTGGGGACCCAGAGAGACAAAAGATTTCCTCCTTGTGCCGAAGCCATAAAAGGGCGGGAGGGAGGGGCAGACAGAACAAAGGGGCTGCCAGTCACGAGAAATCCCCTAGTTACCACCTGAGCTGGAACTAACGAGAACTGTACCGGGGAAAGGATTGGGCCCAGACTAGGAAGGAGTCTAGTCTGTGAAAGAAGATTATTGGAACATCTCTGAGGGTGAGATTTTCCAGTATTCAGTTTCTTAATTATATTAGGCTTAGACTTGCTTGTTTTGTTTTATTTTGCTTGGTAACTTACTTTGTTCTGTCTGTTATTACTTGAAACCACTTAAATCCTACTTTTTATACTTAATAAAATCACTTTTGTTTATTAATTAACCCAGAGTAAGTGATTAACACCTGTGGGAACAAACAGCAGTGCATATCTCTCTATCAGTGCTATAGAGGGCGGACAATTTATGATTTTACCCTGTATAAGCTTTATACCGAGTAAAATGGATTTATTTGGTGTTTGGATCCCACTGGGAACTGGGTGTCTGGATGCTGGAGATAAGTGACTTGCTGAGCAGTTTTTGGTTAAAGTCTGCAGCTTTGGGGGTGTGGACCAGACCTGGGACTGTGTTGCAGCAGACTAGTATGTCTGGGTCAACAAGGCAGGGTTCTGGAGTCCTAAGTTGGCAGTGGAAAATGGGCTCAGAGGTAATTCCAACACGTCAGGTGACAGTCCCGAACCGGTCACAGGCCCATATTGTCCAGCTGACCTTGGAGAACCAGCTATTGCAGGAGCAAGTCATGCAGTTGCAGGCTAAAAAATACGGCATTTAAGACATGGCTTGCACAACCCTGTTCCCCGATACCACTGCCAGAATGGTGTGATGGTAAATCATTAGTGATTCCAGGATTTTATAGTGCCACCTCCTGTTCATGATGCACCCTCAGTTCTATGCTACTGTTCACACAAAAGTGAGCCTGGTTATCCGCTTGCAGTCAAGGGAAGCATTAGACTGGGCGTCCTCTTTCTTGGAATGTGACAGCCCAGTACTGTTAAACTGGGAGGGCAGAAAGATCAGGGTGAGCCACTAGTGATATTAAAAAAGAAAAAGTTGAAATCAAATCTTCATTCATTAGTCGTATGACATTCCACTGTGGGTTCAAATTCTCTATTCTGTTCTGATCACATCGCAGCCCCATTGCTGGTAGTGCCTCACTCCACTCAGCTGTCCATGTTTTATAAGATAGGCATCTGTAAATGCTACACAGAGACTGAGTAGAATCCAGAAGTTGCTGTTGTAGATTTGTAAGAATTAAGTCTGTGTACTTTTTCAGCTGGCTTAACAAACATTTCTTTGTCATCTTCACTTAAGGATTCAATGTAAGTGCCTTCATTGGTCAACTTTTGGACTGAAGTCTTTGCATATTCGAGTACATTTTTAATTGATATCTCTCTGATTGATTCAAGTGTAGCTTGTATTGCTGGACAAAGATCTACTACTGTATAGCGGATGCCTGGATGACATTGTTTAATGACCACGTGGTTTCAACAGTAGACTTACAAGAGAGAGAATGGTGATTGTCTTCTCTGAACGTAGTAGTAAAAATAGTCCACCAACCTTACTACTTAGATCCATTCCATCTTGGTAGATGCTTTCCAAAGCCAGCAATAATGGTTGCAGTAATTTTAAGACAACAGTCAAGGATTGCTCATGAGAAAGCCAGGGGTTTTTCGCAGATTGGATTAATTTAAACTTCAGTTCCAGAGCATCATCTATTTTTTCCATGATGTTCAGTCTTTTTGGACTCTTCTTGAAAAAAGTCTGTAGCAAAGACACTAAATGTATGGCTTTTTAAATGTCTTTTGAAGATTCTGCAGCTCGTACTAGTGCGAGTTGGAGTAGATGTCCTTTGCAGTGTGTATAGGAGAGATTAGCGTTACACTTTTCTCTGAGCAAAGCTTATTCTCCATGTCTTCCAGATAAGTTTGCAGCTCCATCAAATGTATGTCATCTGTTTGGGGTCCAATTTACAAGCATTTAATTCTTCTAAGATGTGGGTTGTCACAGATGCAGCCAATGTGTCTTCTATAACCTGAACATCTAGAAACGTATCTACTGGCCTACCACTGTCATCAAGATAACATACGCAATGATTTAATGCTTGACGCCCATTTGCATTGGTGCATTCATCAGCCAGGGATGTACATTTTCTGAATGTGGTGAGAGAGTGCTTCACTTTTTCAACTGCTGAGTCTTTCATTGTTGCATCACATGCTTCTAACCAGTCAGTTGAGTTTCTTGCAGAAAGATAGCGAGCATTTGCTAGTCTTGTTTGGAACCAGTGTCCAACTTCAGGGCTAACAAGTGACAATGAACTTAATATTAGCCTCCAGTTTGTAGTGTGTGGTATCTTTTGGTTAAATAGAAAGTATGATACGACAGCCATGTTGTTTATAAGGCTTCCTGCATGTCAGTGCACTCCAGAGGCTTGGTGTTTTGCAGCCTTTTCACATAGTTTGTCAGCATTGGCTTTGCTGATCAGTTTGGCAAACCAAGCTCCTCCAGTTTTACCAACTGTAACAGTGGGAAGCTTTCCTTCTTTTTTGCAAGAGGTACACCCAGTAACCATCTTTTGTAACTTCAATAAATGGGAAAAGTTTGACTGACAAACATCAAGAACTGCCTTTAGATTGTGGAGACACTGTTTCTTTAGTAGATAGCTGTATTCGTGCTTCGGGCTGTTCAGATGTAGATACACCACTAGAACCTTCAGATAACATGTTGGCATATTCTTAGTTCTTGGTATGTTCTTCATCTTGGTTGTCTTTTGAGGCCTTTGAGTGGAAAAACTGTTGGTTTTTGTCTTTTCATTTTGACCTGCAACATATAAAACAGATATGAATAAATTAAATGTTTTGATAGGATAATGCAAATTAAACCCAAACGCATAAATTTTAGATTTCTAAAACCAAAAATATTTAAAAAATTAAAAATTAATTCAATTTAAATTGACTTGAAACAATTATAATATAATACAATACAAATGTTTAGTACAGAAACTCCCTGAGAGAATGACCTCTTGAGATAGTGACGATGCAAGATAACAACCTTGGCAAATAATGCATTTTTAAAATCTTGGCGTACTAGGAAACATATATTTATATAAGTGTTCCAGTCACAAATCCAGCATTCTGGAGCAAACTCACTAAAACATACTAAATCAAGTTGTTCCAAGAATGAGAAATTATATTAATTACTTCTATATATGTATAAACTTTCACATAAAGAAGAGGAGCGAAACTTACTATGGCTGCCCGGTTGCCGTAAGCAAGTTTCATATGTTTTCATTGGCAAGGCGATTTGGTGCTAACTCTCAGCCCCACATTTTAAACATTAAAAACTACCAATAAACATTAGCTTTTGAATTTGATGATTTACTGTTGTTTATAAATCATAATTTGAAAATTAGGCCAACCAACATCGCTAAATTGAATGCGCCGTTGTGCTAACAAATGCAGCTGTGTGAAGAAGCTAGACTTTGTTCAGACATTTCAAAACTACTATGCTTTTTCAGATACAAGTATTTTATCATATATATGCTTTTAAAATATGCATTAACGTTTCAATTTTAATTAAAATTTCCAACCAAGAACGAAATGGATTTTTTTTCCAACTAGAAATTTTTTAAAACAATTAGACCTAGTTGGGATGGGGAAGTTCAGGTGGCATGCACACCGTATAGTGAAATCACTGCGTGGTAGGGAAGAGACTCATTCTTGCAAAGAAAGTGGGGAGCACAGAGAAATACTGGGACTATTGAATCTGTGATGCTGTATGGAATACGGGTGACCATTTATAATATTATTGATACCAATATTACAAAATTCAAGGAACCTTATACCAGATATGCCATGTAAGGTATCAGTGGAAAAGGTATGATATTGCTAAATATAATAAGCTTGTTTATATATATGTATCATTTTTGTATCATGAGTTATAAATACATGTGGTGTATTGATATCTCAAACTTGTGTATCTGGGTGATACCGTCAGACAGATTGGTATCAGCACTACCCAGGCTGCTTGATGGCCCATCAAGGACAATCAGCTGTACAATGAGCCCACTGAAAGAAGCCAGGGGCTACACCTGTGAGTCAGCATAACATATAGGGACATGCCTATGGACAAGGTGTGATGAGAGAATTTTGCCTCAGTTGCCCAGAATACCTTATTGAGCTCTGAATGGGGAAAATCTGCAGAAAAACCTTGGAAGGGGTTTAAATTTGCTGAAACTATAAAAATTGCTTAAATGAACAAAAAAGGAGTGGTGATGGTGTCAGGACCCTTTGATATACTTAAAACAGTAATTAGTTTTAAGAATAGGGCTTTAATGAAATAAAAATTACTAATAGTTTAAATTAGAAAATACAGTAATGGCAGCCATAGGATTATGTAATATAGTAGAAAATCCCATAGTAATACATGGGAGCTCATAGAAAGGAATAGGGATGATGCAATCTAGACAAGGGATTACATCACTTCCCCTGGGGAATGACTCAGCAAAATTCCACAGAAATACACTGTAGCTCATAGAAACCAATGGGACCTCCAGATAGAAAATGGCTAGAGTTCATCTAAAGGTCAGTTGAAAACCCCCATTGAAATGCATTGAGCCCATAGAAGTATATGGGACAGGGGAGTAGCTTTCTATACAAGTGACTAATTAACATACACTAATTAATCATTAACATATGCTAATATCTGGAAGCTGGCTGAGGTGGAAAGTCACCTCAGTACACATGACATAAAACAGAATATGCAAATCCTTAAAAACTGATTGGCTGAATTACAATAATACATTACTAGTTAATGAGCTAAAACTATATAAAGGCAGTAATTGGCAGGCTAAAGTATTAAGTGTTAATTAATATAGTGTTCTATGTATTTAAATTGATACATTGTTATAAAATATGGTGTTAACTGAATAATCGTATAGCTATACTGTTGTATGTGATAGTTAAAATTGTCATTGTAGTACTGTCTTTATTTCTTGTGCCGCTTTCTTTACATTGTATCTGTAACCTTTACTGTTTGATTTTTGCCTCTCTCTCCTCTTTTATTGTAATCCTTCACTTCTAAATAATTTTTGTTGTTGATGAATTTACTGCTTCCTGCCTATTCTTGATCGGAGGGCTGTATCCAGGTCCTTCAAGGGGAAAGTTAGTTGGCCTTGGTCAGCGGCTTTTCTCTGGAAGGTCCATAGGGCAGGTCACAACCTTAATATCAGAATAAAGAGTTTAAATTAAAAGCAAATCTTCTTGTTACAAGGGGACTCCAAATAATTTTCCATGCCCATGTGCTGTGAGCTTGCGTTTGGGACAAGGAATGTACAATTTACATGGCAGAGTCAGGTAATCTAAAAAGGCAGTTGCATCACCTCCATTTCATCTTCAGTCCTGCTTCTTTCCTCTGGAGAAACTTCTTTCCAAATTCAAGCTCTGAACAAAGGACTGATAGACCCATCTAAGCTTTCCACGTGTTCCAGACAGACTTTACAAGACAGCAAACTCACCAGTGCTGCGAACAACCAGAGTTCATGTCAGAAGTCATATGTATGTATCTGATTGCTTTGCCAATATAACACCTCTCCTCTCGTTTTCTTTTCTTTTTCAATAAATCTTTGATTTTAGAAACTAAAGGACTGGCTGGCGGTGCGGTATTTTGATCCGGACAAGTAGCGATCTGGTCACGTGGCTGGCCCCTTAGGGGTCAGAGAAGAACATTGTGTTTAGCGACTGGAGTTTTAAGTAACTTCTCACTTTACTGGACTAGGTGCTGATTGGGAGCCAGAGACTGGAATACAAAAGAGGGGGCTGTGTGAGGGAGCGGCTAGCGGCGGGGGCAGGGGGTCCCGCTACCTCCTCCCCTCGGCCCACGAAGCAAACCGGCTGCCCGAGGTGCTGCGCTAAGTGGCTGGTGGCGATGCGGGGCCGCGGCCCCTCGTGCACGTCCCCCATGTGGAGCGGTCCCGAGGCCCGCGCCGCGCTCTGCCCCACCGGCCACAGCTCCCCTGGAGCGGCGGGAAACCAGCACTTCCGCTCTCCGACGAGCCCAGCAGTCGCCCTGGCAACAGGGGAGACATCGAGGCGGGGCTTCCTCTCAAGCCGCCAATCGAACGGGACAAAATCTGGTACCGACGCCCTGGTGACGTAGGCAAACGGCGCTTCTCACTGCGTACGAATCGGAGGGCGCTTGTGGCCTCTATGGGGGCGGCTTAGAGACCGAACCCGGAAGCGAAGGCGGCTGTGGTAGCGTCAGGCGGTGCCGTGGTTCGGTTCGGGAGCGCGTCTGAGGCGGGAACGCGGTGAGTGAGCGGAGTGGGGCTGAGCCTTCCCCGCAGCGCGCCACAGGGTGGGTTTCCAGAAGCGCGCACTTTGCTCAGGGGAGAAGGTAGATTTCTTCAAAGTGATACACAGAGCGAGTGTTTCTGAGGACGGAAAGCGACAAAAAAAAAAAATCCTCCCAGTCAGGTTCTTTGTAGCCGAGTACTAGTAGGTGGGAATTAATGTTTGATGAAGTCCAGTTCTGTGTAAAAAACCGCACTGAATCTCTTTGTATTGCAAAACATTGATCGGCAAAACGGAAATAAATTAGCTGCTTGAGAGTTTTGTAAGTGCCCTTGCCAATATCATAATATGTGTATGTGCTCCTAATACTATAGCCTGTATATGAGTTGGTTTCTTTTAAGTGTTTTTAATGAGACATTACATTTTTGCAAGTTGGCTTGGCATGGCATTCTCCCTTTCTTGCCACAGAGAAGGCATCGGTGCTTTGACAGAGTTTTTTTGTATTGCTACATGAGATGAACTTTAGTCTGAGATTGTGTGGTGCTGTGATACCTCAGTGCTCATGGTAGTGTAATAAAGGAGTAATGTTCATAGAGGGTTCATATACATGGGAAATCCTGTTGTCAGTTCAAAGAAGGCTAGCTGGATATTTTTTCTCAGTAGATATATCAATAACAGACAGAGGGTTGAGAGTGTAAAGTTCTCTCCCATTGCCCCAAGGTTCCAATCTCAGCTTAAGTATAGGTGTTTTGAATGTTTGCCTTGGAAATAACTCAAGACCTTGTCCTAGTTTTAATTTAAAGATGAGTTTTATATTCATTCTTTAGTTGTCTAAATCTGTGTTCACTAAAACCATTACAATTCCTTTCTTAACAGTTTCCCTATGAATGGACATCACCTGAGTCTTCCTACAGAAATTTTAAATCACTTGGATTGATTTGTAGTTGCAAACATGAGTGGCTCCAAACCTGATATTCTCTGGGCTCCACACCATGTTGATAGGTTTGTTGTATGTGACTCAGAACTGAGCCTCTATCACATTGAGTCTGCTGTGAGTTCAGAACTCAAAGCAGGATCTTTGCGATTATCAGAAGAAACTACAGCTACATTATTGTCAATAAATTCAGATACGCCATACATGAAATGTGTGGCCTGGTATCCTAAATATGATCCTGAATGTCTTCTAGCCGTTGGACAAGCAAACGGTCGAGTTGTCCTTACCAGTCTGGGCCAGGATCACAACTCAAAGTCCAAAGAGTTGATAGGAAAAGAATTTGTTCCAAAACATGCACGGCAATGTAATACCTTAGCGTGGAATCCATTGGACAGCAATTGGCTTGCTGCTGGCCTAGATAAACATCGGGCTGACTTTTCAGTATTGATCTGGGATATAAGTAGCAAATACACCACAGAGAGTGCAGTTGCCACAGAGAAAGTGAGACTTTCAGCTGGAGATACTGAAGCTGGACTGGTAGTGACGAAGCCGCTTTATGAATTAGGACAGAATGATGCTTGTCTTTCTCTTTGCTGGCTTCCACGGGACCAGAAACTTCTTTTAGCTGGAATGCACCGAAACTTGGCTATCTTTGACCTTAGAAATACAAGCCAAAAAATGTTTGTAAATACCAAGGCGGTTCAGGGAGTGACTGTAGACCCATACTTTCATGATCGTGTGGCTTCCTTCTATGAAGGTCAGGTTGCCATATGGGATCTCAGAAAATTTGAAAAACCTGTTTTGACTCTGACAGAGCAACCAAAGCCCCTAACAAAAGTAGCTTGGTGTCCAACAAGAACTGGACTGCTAGCTACTTTAACTAGGGATAGTAATATTATTAGATTGTATGATATGCAGCATACTCCCACACCCATTGGAGATGAAACTGAACCTACAATAATTGAACGAAGTGTGCAGCCATGTGAAAATTATATTGCTTCCTTTGCGTGGCATCCCACAAGTCAAAATCGAATGGTAGTTGTGACTCCCAACAGAACTATGTCTGACTTCACAGTTTTTGAAAGGATTTCTCTGGCATGGAGTCCAGTTACATCTCTTATGTGGGCTTGTGGCCGACACTTGTACGAATGCACAGAGGAAGGAAAGGCTAGTTCCTTTGAAAAAGACATAGCAACCAAAATGCGTCTCAGGGCTCTATCCAGGTATGGCCTTGATACTGAGCAGGTCTGGAGAAACCATCTTCTAGCTGGAAATGAAGATTCTCAGCTGAAGTCACTTTGGTACACTCTGCATTATATCCTTTAAAATGTAAAGCAATGTAAAATAAGAAAAGTTGTAAAGCACCTTATATACAGATCTGTCTCTATGTAGACCATGTATATTTCATATTCAAAGTGTAAAGGGCTTATAATGTAAATAGCGCAAGATATTGCAAATACTTTATGAATATTAAACATTGGAGTTGAAATTCTACTTTTCCAAATCCCAGGGGAAAAAATAATGGAGGAAAAAACATATCCTAGTATTTTTCTTTCCAGACATCTGTTTATGGCCTTCTTCTCACCAAGACATTTCAAAATACACTTACAGAGGTATCCATTTGCAAGATCAGGGTAGTGTTTACATTAAATGTGGTCTGTTTGGGTTTTTTTTTTTTTTTTGGTAAATGTATTTAGGAAATCTTTCATTGTTGCAAGTGAAAGATCTCCTTACAATACAGCCTGAAAAGTAGGAACTAATCTTTGTAAAGAACTTTAAAGATTAAAAGTATGTAAGTGTTAAAAATTTGTTTTTAGGCATGATTGCATAGGACTCCAAAAATCTACCTGAATAGTTCCAAACCATTTAGACATTTATATACTTTTCCTGATTTATGGCCCAGTCACATTTACAAACCTGGAGGCAGAGTTAAATATGTCAGAATGTAGAAGTACCCCCACTCCCCCTTGCTTAGTGAAAACTTGGTCCATTTCATGCTATATACCTGGCTACCATTTGGGTGAAAAGCAAAACACATCTGTGGACAAACTGTAAAAAGCAGTCTACCTTTTGCTCTCTGCACACTTTCACTAAGGGCTTGTCTACATGGGAAAATTTACCAGCATAGTTATACCATTATAATTATACCTGTAAATTTCCCCATGTAGATAAGTCCTAATATTTACAGGCTATGGACTTGTCTAGACATATAGTTATTCAGGAACAGCTCTTCCAGAATATTTCTTCTTTCTGTTTAGCTACATCCACTTTCAGAGTTAGTTAAGATAAACGGGAACAAGGCACTTTTGGGATAGGAGTGTCTACGCATGGACTTATTCAGCAATAATTTCATGTATAGAAAAGCCCTAAATGTTGAGGTCTCCTGACGCTTTTGGATGTTGGGTAGGCACTTAAGGGGAGAATCCATTAAGTTTCTTGTTGAAGAGACTTGACCTTTCTCTTTTCACCCTTTCCCCAAGTTGAGTCCCTTTTAGATTGTTGCTTATGTAGACTGTACCTGCCCTTCATTTTAGTGGGGACTGCTATTCAGAACCCTAGTGAGTGAGCTGGTGCTAGCAAACGCATAAACAAATTGGCAAGTAAGGAAATCTTTGACAGCAGTACATGGTACCATTTTCTTTATATCATGTTAATTTATGAAAAATTAGTAGTTCATTTTGCTTACAATGTTCTATTAGTGTGGTGATCTGTGGGTGAGCGTCCTATTGTGGAGAGGCTGGTACGTAAGACTAGTTGAATAGAAGCACATTTGAAAGAATGGGGTCTTTCTCCTGTAATTAAACATTAAGACTTTTTTTCATATTTCCTATACGTGTGAATACTTATGAAGCAATATACTGAAGATATGGATCAGAAGCTTACAGGAAACAAAGGGTCCTTAGTTTATGCAGGCATTAAATCAATTGTGAAGTCATCTTTGGGTAAGAACATTACTACTTTGATAATAATTATACTGTAGCGTGTTTACAAAAACTTAGTGGAGGCCAGTATGGTTTTTGTCACGTACAAAATTGTTAACTTGTTAGAACGCACGTTCAATTAAATGGAAAAAATGAATATGCAGAAAGATGATGCAGAAGCACAAGTAAACATTAGTTTCTAATTGGCTCTTGGATAAATAATTTGAAACTAAACATAATTTTTCCTCCAATAGCACCCAGAATTTCTGGTTTGCTTTGAAAGTCTGTTAATGTAGCGCAAAATGGGTTTCAACTTATTTGAAAGGTCTTGATATATTTTAAACGTTGCTTATCCTGATGTTATATAAAAGCTTGAAAATGATTAATTCTTTTTCTGTAACCATTGGACAATATAGTTTTTTTTTTCTGTATAAGAATGCAGCAGCAGCCATATAGACTTTGTGCTGGATACTTCTTTGTATATGTCATATGTAATCAGTGATGTAAACAAAAATACTGAGTAAGTCCTCCATGTGTGTGAAAGAGAGGTGTGTGTATAAAAAAAATAAATCGCCCTCTTATCTACATGCCATGTGCTTGCTTAGCTGAATAAAAAGATGTTTCACTTATCTCAGTCTTGCTTCAAGGAGCTTTTAGAAGGTGTGGCTAAGCCCCTTGAAGAAGAATCTTGTCTTTTTTTTCTGGGAGGCACCTGGAATGTGTTTGGCTGCTGAGAGAAATAATGAACCCTAGAATACTAGTAATAACAGAAGCATGTACTGTTCTGTCACCTCATTCCTTTTTAAGCTTAATTTTTGCTTTTTTAAATCTGAAAATTTTGTTACAAAGTTCATAGGAGCAATGAAGTTTCCAGAATGT